AGTCTGCGTTAGTTGACAGGGACCTTAGAGATCATCTTGTCTACCTGTAAGTGGGGTTACAGATCCAGAGAGGTCAAGTGATTGGGCTATGGTCACACAGCAATTAAGTGATAAGAGCCACGGTTCAAACCCACAGCTCTGGAGCCCATACACCTTGCGCTACAATGATGGCTGCCAAGCCTGGCTTGGCATCTGGGAGTTTTTATAACAACTCAGATTCCTGGGCCTGCTGTCTCTGATCTGGTCTCTTATTCTCCCTTTCTCCTCATTCTAGGCCAGCCAACCTTTAGTGTACAATAGCATACTCTGGAGGACTGTTAAAATATAGATTGTTAGCCTCCACCCCCAGTTTCTGATTGAGTAGGCCTAAGTGTGGTGGTGGTGGGGAAACAAGAATTTAAATTTCTAGCAAGTTGCCAGTGATACTGACACTGTCCGTCTGGGACCATACTTTTGAGAAACACTGCTTTAGGTCATCCAACAGTGAGATTTCCAGATTTATCCTCCTAAAATACAACTCAAATTATATGCTTTTTTCGTTTACTTTTTTTTGGAGATAAGGTCTCTCCATGTTGCCCAGGCTAGCATGCTGTGGTGTCATAGCTCACAGCAACCTCAAACTCGTTGAGCTCAAGTGATCCTTCTGCCTCAGCCCCCAAGTAGCCGGGACTACAGGCATGTGCCACCATGCCTGGCTAATTTTTTCTATTTTTAGTAGGGACAGGGTCTCACTCTTGGTTAGGCTGGTATTGAACTCCTGAGCTGAAGCAATCCTCCTGCCTCAGCCTGCTAGAATGCTGGGATAACAGGCATGAGCCTTCACACCTCCACAAAGCTTTGTGCAAAGCTGGTCCCTGTTGCTTACCAAAAACATCTATCAAATAACCTAACATTGAAGGACATCTGGGAAATGACCCCAGAATGACATCCTCTTCCTCTCCCCTTCCTCCCCTTCCCATAGTCTAGGGCAATGCTACTTGACATGTAGCCAGTATTGCCTGGGAGTTTGTTACCAATGCAGATTATCTGACTTGCCCACAGACCCTCTAGGGATGAGGTCAGGAATCTGTTTTAACCAGATGATAGGCGATCTGTAGGTATGGGTGTTGAAAGTGTGCGAAGCCCTGGATTAAGACTTGGGATCACAGGAGGCTATTCCTCTCCTCCCACACTTTCTCCTACCTAGCTTTTGCCAGGGTCGGCCCCTTCATGGAATGCCTTTCCTCCATCTCTGGATGTTTAAATTTTACCTCTGTGTCCCAGCCCAAATGTTACCAAAAGCCACCGAACTTATTCCTGCAGCTGGAAGTAATCTTTCTTTCTTTCTTTTTTTTTTTTTGCAGTTTTTGGTAGGGGCTGGGTGTGAACCCACCACCTCTGGCATATGGGGCCAGCACCCCACTCCTTTGAGCCACAGGCGCCACCCAAGGAAGTAATCTTTCTTTCCCTCCAAATTCCTGGTGGCACCTGATTTGAACTTTTCCTACAGCATTGAGCCCTTTCTATCTTGCACTGGAGTGCTTTTGCAGTGCAAGAACTGCCTTCCTGGGCGCCAGCCACATACACTGGTGCTGGCAGGTTCAAACTCAACCTGGGCCTACCAAACAACAATGACAACTACAAGCAAAAAATAAAAATAGCCAGGTGTTGTGGTGAGCACCTGTAGTCCCAGCTACTTGGGAGGCAAGAGAATTGCTTAAGCCCAAGAGTTTGAGGTTTCTGTGAGCTGTGATGCCACAGCACTCTACCAAGGACACAAAAAAGAAAAAGAAAAAAAGAAAAGAAAAAAAAGAACTCTGCCTTCCTAAACCATGAACTTGAGGTCAGGATGCAGGTGGTAGGCATCCTCGTGCTCCCCACAGAGCACAGCCAAGCACCCGGCATGGTAAGCTTTGGCTAAAAGCATGGATGAGGGAAACACACCACTGCCGTGGACTCGCTGACGGTGTGTTCGCAGATGAAGGGGGCCTCTGGCAAGTCCACAACCACAGAGGATTCTGAGTGTGTTGAGGAGGTGTCTGTATCCAGCTCAGGGTTGTCAAGGTCCAGTAGGTCCCTGGGAGTCATGTGGGACTTAGATTGGCGGGTACAGATGGTCAGGTCCCCCTTCTCTGTGGCCTTGACTATTGAGGAAAAACTGAGTCTGTTCAGCTCCCCCTCCAATATTCCTGCAAAGAAACTGCTGTTGGGCTGGGTGACGGCCAATTTGATGGGGTTCAGCAAGGTGGATGAGAGCGGGGAGATGCTGGTGTCATCAGAGCTGCATTCGGAATCCTCCACTGGTGTCGGCTTCCTGCAGCAGGAGGGAGGATAGGAGGGTCAGATGAAGGAAGCCACCCCACCCCATTCTGCCTGAGGCCAGGCCTTGGGCCTGACCTACCAGCGTCCCCAGCTTTTGGAACTCCTTACTGCTCTGCAGCAGCAAATCAAACTCACATAAAAAACTTTTTTTTATTAAAAAGCCAGAGTCAAGTGCCATGGCTTCACAGCTCACAGTAGCCTCAAACTCTGGGGCTTAAATGATCCTCTTGCCTGAGCCTCCCAAGAGCTGGGACTATAGTCACCCATCATAATGCCTGGCTAGTTTTTCTATTTTTAGAGATGGGGTCTAAGTCTTGCTCAGGCTGGTCTTGAACTCCTGAACTCAGCCCACATCACCTTGCATCAGCAGCCCTTCACCAGCTAATTCCTTCCCTTCCCTGGAGATGTAGCTCATATATCACTACCTCCAAGAAGCCTCACTTAACTGCAGCATCTCCCAAGATATACTAAACCCCTATAAAGCCCTCTGGTTGCTCACCAGACCCTGTCACAGCACTTGCCTCAATCGAAGGGGAGACAGGTGAAGAGGAAAGAGGGCAAGGAGTGTGGGGGTTGGCTGGTGATGGTGAGCACCACAGCCAAAGCAGGATGAGGAGCACATCAAGACACTGACTAATCCAGGAACACCTCCTGGAAGAGGCAGTCCACATACCTAAAAGAATCATTCCTGATTTGGGGCTCAGGAATACATAGACAGGCCCAACCTGAGCACATGCTTTTCCCTGGGAGTCCAGGGACTGGGTTGTGACAAGTTAAGAACATGAAGTTTCTTTAAGTTTCTCTCCCTGCCCCGCAGATCCACCCTTAAGAGGAAAGGACCCAACTTGTGTCTTACGGTAAGTTGATGGTGTTGTCCTCCAAGAAATTAACCAAACTGCCTTTTGAGGAAAGTGGGAGTCCTTTGCTAGTGACTGTCCGGTTCATAGACTTGGGGTTTGGAAAAGGCTTTGGCATTTGATCAAGTACATTTATGACATTGAGGTTTTCTTTCTTCATGATGGCCTCTTCCCCATCTCCCACTTTATAGACTGTCTCTGATGCCATCTCATTTGTTTGGGACCACAGCCGTTACCATGCAGGACAACCAAGCTGATAGGAAGCAGAGAGAAACTGTGGGGGCAGTGAGCCCTCCCTTAGTTTGGGTGGGATGGGGTGCAATGAGCTGACTTCATAATCATCACAGAGTGTAACAATTAGGGGCCAGCCTGCTCTTGCTGTGAAGCTGCTGCTGCCGGGCTGGCTATGAGGCCGGAGAGACCAAGGGTCAGCTTTATGAGACAGGTAAAGCCATGGAACAAACTGCATGGCCCTTCAGGCCCCTTCCAGCTTTAATACTCTGTGGTTATAGCAGCCCTGCCCTTCTCTGAAGATCTCAAAATGCTAACACCTGTGTGCTGCTCAGGGCAGGAGAAGGATGGTGAGAAAGGCAGCTTGGATATGTGGGGGGGGGGGCGCAAAATGGGGAAGGGTTTCTTGGAGTGGAAAACTGTATCTGAGAAATCCTCAGATACAGGATTTGCAGGCCGCAAACCCTGCGGTGTCCAGTTGTGTGGGCACAAGGAAAGCCCAGACGGTCCCCTGGCGTTCAGAGTCCACCGATGGCCCAGGCTTCGCTGTTGGAATTTTAAATGTGTCACACCTGCACTCTGGAGTACCTTATTGTGTTTCATGACAATGGTGGGTGTTGCAGAGGGACACAAAGGCCACACATGATCTCTGCTCACAAGGAACCTACTTTATAGTAGGAAAACATATATACAACTTCAAAAAGTGGGAGCAGGGTTGTTAAAACAGCATTAGCTTTGCACTCAGGTGTGGGTTTGGAGTCCAGTCCTGAACTTATTATGTAACGTTTGTCAAGTGATTTAACCTTGCTGAGCCTAAGTTTTCTCATCTGTGAAATAGGGATAGGGCTCTCCTCATAGGTTTGTGAGGAGATAACCCTGTAAAGTTGTTTTATTTCTTCCGTGGACGAGGAAAAACATTTAAAAGCCAGATTATAATCCTTCGTGTTCTGTATACCTAATATTTTCCCATTAAAAATTTTAAAAAACCAACAACTTTTGGAAAACACAGAGAAGCAGGTGCCCTCCATCGGCTCGGCTGCATCTTAGCACCTATCAGACCCTCTGGAATGATCTGATTCATCTGATTCTTTTTCATTTTTCTTTCCCTCACTAACACGTAAAGTCAGCTCCCTGCAGATAGGAGACTGTCCCCGCGTTTGGGGGGGGAAGCTGGCACACAGGAGTCTCTTCAGTAGGTCTGAGTGTGTACGGGGAAGAAGGTGGAGGCCGAATGCGGTCGCGGGTGGCGCGTTAGCCTCGCCGGGTGGCGGGGCTCGCGGGCGGCGGTGGAAGGGGGCGCTGCAGGCCCGGTGGGCGCGGGCGCAGAGGCTCCCCCTGGCCAGACCAGCAGATGGCGCCACAGGCCCGGCCCACGCAGCTCGCGCGGGCCTGGAACCCGGAAGCGGCGGCGCGGCCCGGTAGGGCGGGCTCAGGGCTCTGGGCTCCTGAGTCTCAGCCGGTTCCCGGAGGGTGGGTGATCCCCGCCACTTCCACCCCCAACTCCCACCTTCGCCTTCCTGCAGCTGCTGGCGCTCCAGCGCTTTTCCAGAAAGGCGCGCAGAGGGGTGTCTGGAGGAGGACCTGCTGGTGCCCAAGTGGCGGGCAGCCCCCGAGCTGGCTGGGCTGTCCCGGCCAGCGGGGAACATGGGCGTACTCAGGGTCGGGCTGTGCCCGGGCCTCACCCAGGAGATGGTCCACCTTCTGAGGAGCCGCGGGATCAAGACAGGTGACTGCCTGAGCGGGTGCCAGGGAGCCGCGCGTCCCGCACGCGCACAGCCTGACACCAGCATTACCTGCCGGATCTTCAGTCTCCTTTCCTGAAGGGCCACTCCCCTCATCAACTCCCCAGGCTTTTGGAGAGGCGCTGGAAGGGAGGGAGTGGGGAGCCAAGTCCCAAGGCAGGGTAGGGTGTTCCAGGCACCAGGTCAGGTGCTGGGTCTCTTTTACTAATATTTGCCTGAGGCCTCCTGAGTCTGCCTGGAGGTAGAATTGCTACCCCCTTTTACAGATGAGGAAAAACGAACTGTGGGAGGCCCCAGGCTACTCTTCCTGCCAATCAGCTATGTCTGCTTTGTTTTCAGTGGTGGACCTGGTTTCTGCAAACCTGGAGGAGGTAGCCCAGAAATGTGGCTTGTCTTATAAGGTGAGCTCCCGATCTCCAGTGCTCCAAAGCTGAGTGTCTTTAAATGTCCATCCTAAGCCAAGGGTAGCAGAGCGTACCCAGGGATTAATGGAGGGGAGTATATGATGCCAGCTCCTATGGGTGGTGGAGTGCCAAGTAGCCTGGGCTGCTTTGGATCTGAGCCCCCTACCCCTTTGATAGGCCCTGGTTGCTCTGAGGCGAGTGTTGCTGGCTCAGTTCTCAGCTTTCCCCATCAATGGTGCTGATCTCTATGAAGAACTGAAGACCTCCACTGCCATCCTGTCCACCGGCATTGCCAGGTTTGTGTGTACTCAGGGAAGAAAGTGAAAGGCAGGAGAATGGGGCTGCTTCTCAGTCTGGCTTCTGATGCTTTAGTCTCTAGAAAACAGGCTTTTAAAGCATTGGTGAGGGCTGGTCATGGTGGCTCACGCCTGAAATCCTAGCACTGGGAGGCCGAGGCATGAGGATTGCCTGAAACCAGTCTGAGCCAGCGCAGACCTCATCTCTTTAAAAAGTAATAATAGGCTCGGCGCCTATAGCTCAACCGGCTAAGGCGCCAGCCACGTACACCTAAGG